GACAACAAACATGAAGCCCGTCAGGGTGATGAGGTTCGGCGCCATGCTCATGGGGAACATCTTGATCACCACGTTCGTGTAGAAGGGCTTCAGGATGTACTTCGACGTCAAGGAGTGGTCGACTCCGGAGTACTTGTACTCCTTGAGCGCCGGAAGGCGGTCCTGGCGCACGTAGACCATGGTTTCTGTTGTTTTTGCGTGTCTTTTCCGTAGCTAGCCTTCCTTCTGGTGAGAACCGTTGCCTCGAGGATTGTCGTGGGGATGAGGAGTTGAAGGAGAAAACTCTCAAGGTTGCGTTGGTGGTTTTGTCCGCAAAGGGCAGGTTTCGATATGCAGGGCCAAGTGTCCCCAAAGTGGGCTGGCAGCAAGGGAAATTTTAGGCGCGAGAACACGGTGGAAGTCCCGTTCGATTCGATGGGTCCCTCCGGTACTTCTCTTTTGTTGGAGCGGTGACGACGATAACTTCAAAACCGGGGAAACGCGGTTCGTCGAGCTGCGGGGTGCGGGTTTGCGCGCGGGCTAAAAGAAAGGCAGAGAAGGTGGGGAGGTTAAGTGGGAGGAGACCAGAGGTAGTCGGAGTCAAGAGCTTGGAGAAACAAACGTCACAAGCCGGTCAGATGCTCTTCCCGAGACCAGGCACACTTGACAAGAAACTACAGACGACGACGGTATTCCTAGTTGACATGTGGTCGCGTGGGCCGCCGGCTGGAAGAGGGAAATTTTCCTGCTTGGACAGCTCACACGCGCAGCGCACACGCTGCGACAAAGGAAGAAAAAAACAGTCCTCACAACGTCATTTCCCGGCTCCCCGAGCCCCTGGTAAAGAGACTAACCGTATTCGGCTTAGTATTGGCCCGTGCCAGTTGTCAAGCCCCAGCCGCCCTGCCGCTAAACCAACCTCTGGGGGCTTTGAGATCGACGTCGGGACACTCTCAGGCTTAACAACGACAGCGACTTTGTCGACAGGGCTCCAATGTCATGTAGGCCACGGAACCTCGAAGCCGCACAAGGACTGTTCTCAAAAGATAAAGATAGAAATGCATTTTATTTCCCATCACGCAAAATACACCGCGACACACGAAATCTAGCAAAGTCTTCATGATGCCTTTTTCGTGTCTTCATTCTAGATATACGCGAGCCGCCAGTCCTTTTACACGCACACGCTACCATGCGCTGACCTCAGCCCCCCCTACTATGGCGGCGGCTGCGCGAGTCGGCTATAATAAAGTCCTCGTCTGTGCAGTACGTCTTGCTTGGACCTCCGACCATGTATCGACCCCCACGAACTCCAAACAAGTATATTTAAGCGACAGATGCAACAACAAGAGACGCCACACCTTCTTCTTCGCTGCGGACCGTGATCTTGGTCGTGACGCCGGACTTGGACGAGTACGCCATCCGCACGTTGGCAACCACCCTGCCGCCGCCAACAGTCTTTCCAAGCAGCTTGAGGGTATGTGTTGTCTGGTTGACTGGCACATCGGTTCCCTCCAAAGGTTGCAGCGACAACACCTTGGCCAGCTGCTCCGTTGCCTCTGCACATATTGTTAGCTCTGCTCGTACTCTGGTTGACCATATTGAACTTACCCGCTATGCTCTTCATGCTGCCGAGCTGCAATGTCTCCTCAGCCTCCTCGCCGGCCGCGCCAACCTGCTCCCAGATGTGGTTGAAGTTGCTGGCGAATGTCGGCACGACGTAGTCGCTGCCAGCCAGATCGAACTCGGCCACCTCGTACTCGTCGTCGTAGCCAGTAGCCTCCGGCTCGTTTGTTGTAGGGTCGATCTCCTTGCTGGTGAACTTGAGAATGTTGGAGAAGCTGCTGACGGGCATGGAGCCCTCTCCGCCGACCTTCTTGAAGGCGACGTACACCTTGCCGGGCTCGTCCGTAGGGAGCTTCTCGGCTTGGATGATGAAGACCTCCTCGAGCTCCTCCTCCTCGGAAGGCGTTGCCACGACCGACACGTTCTCCAGAACGGTAGCCTGGAGCGTGTTCTTGATCTCGTACTGGAACACAATGTGCTCCTTGAAGATGTGCTTGACAACGGTGACAACATACTCCATCTCCGACTCCGTGAGTTCGACGACAGGTGATGACTTGAGCACGCTGCCAAACTCCTTCATCTCGGGGATCTGCATCAACTCCTGGGCGTAACGCTGAGCCGCGGCAGTGGCTGATGCAGCAGCCTCCGCGCCGCTGGTGGACGTCTTTGTCGGGCCAACCTTGGGAGGCTTGAGCGATGGGGCAGTCGCCGTGAGCTTCTTGGTGCGGTCCTCCGCATCGGCCTGCTCCCGGGTGACAACGGGAATCTGGGAGATGTCGAAAGGCGTGTCGAACGCAGACTTGTCCTCGGATGTGACGTACATGACGAGCTGGTGCTCAAAGTACGGAAGAGAGAACATGCTGTCTATTCAGGTGTCAGCTTGAGTACAGTAGCGTGATTTATGATTGACTTACCGTTCTTGACAAACTTCTCGGAGATGGCGTCGTCCTCGTGCATGAGCCTGAGGTTGAGGGCAGCGCGATCTCTGACCTCGTCGTCGACATCGTCCAGACATCTGGTGAGGAGAACCTCGACACTGCGCTTGACCTCGGGATCCTTCTGGCCAACACCAAACTTGGCGAGAGCGGTGACGGCGGCGGCTCTGACGATGGCGTTCTCCAAAACCACTCTGTTGTAGATGTAGCGGATGTACTTGGTCGGCTGGGAGGTCTTGGGTCCCTCGAGACCGAGGAGGTGCAGAATGCGGACGGCAAGCTTAGTAAACTCGCAGTCCTCAATGAACTCGCAGAGGTGAGCGAGCGCATCCTCCTTGGACTCCGGCACGAACTTGATGAGGTCAAACATGCTCTCGACAACAGCACGCTTGAACTCGTAGCCACCCTCGTCGCGGAGGATGCCGCTCAGGAAAGCAAGCATGCCAGCCTGCTTGCTGGGGAACTTCAGGCACAAGGTGCGGATAGCTTCGACAATGGTGATCTTGAACTCGTCGGTGATCTCAGACATGAAGCCAGAGATCTGCTTCATCAGGCGGTCGACGCTGGCCTCGTTGCCGGTCTTGAGCAGGGTGGTGATGGCAAAGGTGGCAATCGATCGGTTGCTGTTGGAAATCAAGAGCTCGATATCGGGGTTGCAGACGTTGACGGCGTTGGGCTTGAAGGAAGCGAAGTTGTGGAGGATGCGGAGAGCGGCGAACTTGGTGACGGCGCGGGGAGAGGTGAGGAAGAGCTGGAGAACGTGGACGGCCTGGGACACCTCGGCATCGGTGACATCGCGCATGTCGCAAATGGCCTTGGCGGCCTCGAAGTTGACCATCTCGCTCTTGTGGCGCAACCAGCCATCCAGCAGCTGCATCATGGGCTTCCTGAGCGAAGGGTCCTCCTCGGCGAGCTGGGCGGCCAGACGGACGAGCATGACGATCGCAGCGGAGCTCTTGACCGCACCTGCCGCACCGAACTGCTGCACCATCTTCACCAGCGCCATGCGGTCGTGCATGCGCATCGAGTATAGGAGACCAATGGCGTGGTACTGGGGCATGGTCGAGTTGTTGGCGGGCAATTGGCCGCTCGAGGAGGAGAACCCCAGGGAGAAGCCGCTCGAGGACTTGGTGGAGGCGGCAGCCTCCTGTGTCTCGCTCTGCCAGCGGCGGACGACGTCCTTGGCAATCGGAAGGAGGTGGTAGGACGATACGAGGGCGGCGGACGAGACGGAGGGGTTCTTGTCGACGATTGCGGTCTTCATCACTCGCTCAATGGACTGGACGGTGGTCGCCTGGAGCTAGTTAGCGCTTGCCATCCCTGGTATCGTGGAGCTCGGAGCTCAGCATACATCGATGATGCGGCAAAGGGCGCGGATGGCATTGGGGCGGTAGATGGCATCGGTGCTGCCTCCAGTGTCTTTCATGACGGTGCTGGTGACCATGATGATGTCCTCGGCGGAGGACGCGAGTTCCTGCGATCAAGGTGAGCCCACAAGCCATGCTTCATCCGTATTGGACTGGTCTAACCTTCACACAGAGGTGAACCGCTTGCCGAAGGCTGGCATCCTTATTCTGGAAGAGCTTCGAGATGCCAAAGAAGAGGGTCGTCGCTTCGTTCGTGGGGAACTTCTCGCCCGTGTAGAGCAGAAGGAGGATCTTGGTGAGCAGGGTCCGGCATCTTCGCGGTTGGATAGGAGAGCTGTTGAATAGGCGTGCTATCCCGCCCTTTTAGCCAGCTTGCTCGCAAACGCTCGAGCTGCAGAAATTCCAACTAACCTTCTTGGAAGACTTGAGTTCTGTCCACCTTCACCAAGCCCAAATCGGCGTCTTCGTCTTTCTTGCCGTAACTCATGATAGGCAACTGGTGTTTGGTGGGCTGGTTTGAGGTCGGGTCTGGAGGCCAGCTTGCTACCACGTCGCCTTCAGGTGTGAAGGGGGACAGGCATTGCCCCACAAGAACATTTGGGCGGGTCGCGTCACGTGACGCAATTGACATCCCTGCTCTGGCCAGATTGCGACGCAACTAGGTATGTCAGCCACAGAAGCAGCTCTCGCGAACGGTGGCATTTGAGTTACCTCACAAGGAAGTGTGGCTTATCCCCCATTTGACCGTACCAAGTCATGTCGCGGGCTTATTTAGACGCCAGCTCACGCCAAGCAAATATGTCCTTCCAACGCATGGGCTCTCTCACCGGGCATCTCACGCCTACGCGGCAGGTTGAAAGATACCTAAACTTTTGATTGTCTATCTGAGAGAATAAAGTAGAAAAGACTGGTGGCTAGCATAAGCTGCCTTGCGGTACCGCCTGAATCTAGAAGACACTACTAACAACTTCCTTCATTCCCCATTAGCCTATGTTTCAATGGTGGCTGTCGTGTCTAACACCTTTGTAATACCAAGACCTGCTCCAGCCGACAACACACAAGAGGCCCCAAATATAGAGTCCCCATCCAAGCATCCTCGCTAACGAAGCCAAGCCAGTATGCGCAATTCTGATGGTTGCCATACCCAGTTCTCAATTCAGTTTCCAAAGACCGATTGACGTCCCTTTTCGGATCTGTCGACCAGGGAAGGCGACGGGTCCTTCCACTGATGGAATTTGTCTTGGCTGATACCCGCCTCTACCTGGTTCAGAAGCGCCGAGAAGGCCATGGTGATGAAAGGGTCTGCGGCCTCCTTGGTCGTCATGCTGTTAACCTGTTGAGCAGATATGTGCGGGTACTCGACCTTCTCTGCCTTGGGCTTAGGTCGACCGTCTCCAATGACTCCAACTTGACGCTTGAATTGACGGAACTCGGCGTCTCTCATAACGGACTCCATGTTTTTACCGAGCTCGCCAGTGCCCGCGTAGAACAGACGGTTGACACGTTCGTTTCGTGCTTCCAGCGCTTCGTCTGAGATCTGGCTCGTTCCTGCCTTCCAAACTGGGCGAGGAGGCCAGTACTTCTCATATGGCGCATTGCCGGTGCGTCTGTTGCCGCCAACGTTGAAGCTGCCGTTACCGTTACCAAACGGCATGAAGTCTGCGGGCTGCTGGAAGCCTTGCTTCTCGTTGGTGGCCTTGTCATCACTCGTCAAAGCGTCGAGCATCTTCTCCAGGTCCACAGCAGACGTCTGCCGTCCGAACGAGTCCATCCAGTCGTCCTTATCAGGCGTCGAGTCGCGAAGAAGCGCAGGCAGACTGTGGATCAAATGGTCAGGGGTCGCCGGGCCAGGGTTCTGAATGATATCATAGGCCTTGTGTAGACCGGGAGGCCCAGCGTAAAAGTCGGCAGCTGACTCCTCGCCAGAAATCTCAGATTTGGGACCATCCTGGAGAGCTTTCATGGCGGACTCGAATGTCGGCGTGCGGTATTGGCGCTGGCCAGGAGGGCCGGCAGTCAACGGCAAAGGAGCGCCAGGACCAGTTGCCAGGCTAGACTTGTACGCTCCAACTTGAGTACCTCTCTGAGGGAGGGCATTGTACTGTCTGAAAGGGCCAGCGATGTCATTGCTGACGGGGGCAGATCTCCAACCACCAGCAACGTCTGATGTGTGCTTGTTGAAGTCAACATGCACCCTGAGGACATCGGTAGGATCGAGCTTGGCATTATGGAATGGACCTGGAGAGTGCGAGCCGTCGATGCCCATGTCGGACATGTCTCCGTAGGAATATCCACTGAATGCGGGAGTGGTGGAGCGGCTGGCGTTGGTTCCAATGGAAGGGGCGGGAGTGACGCCCGGACGAGCCCGAAGAAGCGCCTTCTGAGCTCTCCTCTGGTTAGGGTTGGGGTACGAAGCTAGGTTCTGAAGAGACTTGACGGTCATGCCCTTGAAGGGATTCTCTCCCAGGGCGTCGTCATCCTCCTCGTCACTGGAGTCGTGATCGTTGACATGCTTGTCCGAGATAGGGGTGGGTAGGGCAACCTCCATCGGGGAAGCCAGCTGGGTGGTGGTGGTGGTGGCCATGTTGAAAGAAGATACGCGAGATGTAGAAAGGCTTCGGATATCCAGATCAATTGGAGACTCGCGGCTGTGATCAGTGCCGGGGCTAACAGCGCGGTCGTAGTTTTGCTGAAGAGGCGAGTATTTGGGGATTTGGTTGGGAAGAGGACTGATAGGTGTCGTGCAGAGAGGCTGAGGCTTCATCAAGGACAGGCTGGAAAGAGCTGACTTGGGGAAGAGAGACAGTTCGGAGGCAGGACCTCCTGGGAGAGGCCACTTGACAGACCTGGCGCGACGAACGGGAGGCTGGAGCGGCTGGGCGTTGTTGGGGTTGTAGATGGTACCGGCAGTGGTGTAGGTCTGTCTGGGAACATCCTGATGGAAGGTGCTGGCAGATTGCTGGGTAAATTGAATCGCGCTCGTCTTGGGCGACGAAGAAGATAGATGGTCCATTTTGAAAATCAGGGCTTCCGCATACTTTGGCGTCATCCAATTCGTATCCCTGGTATGAATGCGTGCCGGCCAAGACGACTCTGTTGCTTCAATCAGGAAATTGGTCTAGACGAAGACGGAGGTGCGAGGGAGGAAGGGATGAGAGAATGTGAAGGTGAAGGTGACGACGGGTGAGAGGAGTGGGTGGGATAGAGGAAGAAGGAGGTTGGACGAATTTTATCGTGGGGGGGATGAAAAAATCGGAAGTTGAGGATGGGCAAGCTCGAGACGGAAAGAAGAACGGAAGGAAGGTGAGATCGCTTGCTTGTTACAGATGGAAAGAGCGACGCGTCGTGGGTGAGGCAGGCGGGTGGTGAGGCAGGGTAGGAAGGCAGGCACCTGGACGTCGAGGAAGGAGCTCGCAGCACCTTCCCACTACCGAAGATGCCCACCAAAATCTACTCCAGCATCAATATCGACCAGAAAGAGAAATCAGATGTCCGGTATCCTTTTCTCAAGGTCGTGGTAGATCTTGCCTTGCGTCTAAGCCTGTAACACAGACTACGACAAAGGTCGAGATGTTGATGAAGGACGGAGAAAGGCACCGCAAGCCACAAGAGGTCGAGGATGGCAAGGGGAAACATCGGCAAGGCCACGTTCGCACTCAAAGATCTGATAAGAACAAAGATGAACAATAAAACTCACCACAAAGAGCTCGAAGCCTGGCGGCAAGATCGCAGGATTTCGACTGGATCTCCCAGCACCTCCGTGTTGATGCCCTTGGAGAAGCTCCTGACTCTGCCGATGTCGACGCCACCACCGTTGGAAATGTGTTCCTCGAGGCGTGGAAGAACCAGCGGCGCAGAGTCGAATACCCAGAGATGGTATCGGTGCATCTCGCCAACAACGCAGACGACATCATCACTTTTTCGGACGGGAAAGATGAACAGAATAAAGTGTCGATGCGACTCCAGGCCCAATCTGCCCATCAACTTCTCCGGAGATCGCGAGATACCAGTGGCATACATGTTGGCGGCTGAAAGAATTTGCAGATGAAATAAGAATAGTAGATGGTGGTCGTTTGTCGAAACTTCTTAATGAAGACACCTCAAGCAACATCCAAATCTTTCCATCTCAGAGGCGCCATCGTCATCTCTTATATCCCCAGTATCAATACCAACCCGCCTTTGATGCCTCCTCTAAAAACAACACCAACAAACCGACCAACACACCCAAATGCCAATCTCATGCAGGCACGCAGCACGCACCATCGCAAACCCCAACCAAGCCTCTCAAAAGGACCATACCTACGAACCGGTCCAACATTCTCAACGGCACAGACCGCGCGCTTCCCGGAGCGGTCCAAACCCGGCATCATTCCCCGGAAGAGCTACCACCAAGCGCAATCTGCCATCCGGTTACACAACAACCCCGGGAGTGCGCCCCCCTTTCTTCCCGTTTCAACACGGGACTAACGACAAGAAACCTCGTTCCCCAGTCCATACAAGAGCCTTCATTTCAAACAGAATCCGCCCCCGTTGGAAAACCACCCCCCAAAAAGGACGCCACAGATCCAGTCGACGACATACTCCAAGCCAACGACCCAATCACATCCACACATGTCCAGCGTCCTCATCTCCAAAAGGGCAATGGCTAGAGCTATCCAGCTTACAAACTCCATCGCCCTAAGGCAAGCCATATTTGCCTCTGGTCCCGCCAACACCATCGTCCATCTACCCTGGTCCCGCCCAAGCTCTCTTCCCAAGACCGGTGGCATCAAAGTTTCGCTTACAGCCACCCATTCACAGATCTCCACCTTCCCCAGAAAGGGCAATGCGAGGGCCCTTAGCACCAACATTTCAAGCTCACTTCAGCTCCCACTGAACCACTTCAACATCACGTCCATTGTCATCCTCCCCACAAAGCCTCCGAACAATGCCAACCTCACGCGTTTCACCAGTCGAGTAATCAACGTTGACAGCCGCCTCCTGAAACTCTATCTCCAGCTGGTCTTCTCCATCATCAGCCGTCTTCGTCCGTAAACCTTCAACATGGCCTGATATCCCACCCAACTAACAGCCCTACGCCGCGGAGAAGGCGACATCTCACAAACCATAGATCCAGGCGCTAAGGGCCCTAACTACCGAGTCGGTCCGTATGTATGTCAGCTCAGCTAACCTTGCGGCCCGCCAAGCCTCTGGGATCGGGACTCGGGGCCACGGCAACGTTACCCCATGCAGAGTGGAGAACGACCTTACGGAGAGAGGCAGCTGTCGTGAGGAGATCGACAACGCTGAAAATTCAAGTACAGACGTCCAGTGACCGAGAGGCAGACGCCACCGTACGATACTGCAGCCTCGGTCAGAGTAGGGTTAAGGTTCTCACGTCTAGTGGAATGACAGGCACTAGCGCCAAGCTTCACGGACAGCACGGGGGAGGGAGCACGGTGCATGCTTTGGATGAATTCTACACTTCTCATTGTGTTCTGCCACCCCACACACACCTTGGCCTATGTTGTTGCTACGCCGTCGCACCGTTTCGATGCGATGAGGGCCCCCCAAGTCTCGCACTCTGGAGCAAGGTATCCATCCGTGACCTTCTCCATCACATGCAAGAAACCCAATGGGCCCAGAGAAACCAAGCCAAGCCAACGATCCTGAAACCTCCACTTTCTGTATTTCTTCCCACCCCTTTGCGACCACGCCCTATAGCCTCTCGTAAGATGGAAACAGAGAGGTCGAAGAAAGACGGCCACGACCAGATAGCTTACACATGCACAAACAATGATTCTATCGTGTCCCACATGCTATCGTTTCAGGATCGATTAGCTCAAAAGGCCCAACACAAGGGCGCTGGAGGTCGATGGGCCAGGTCACCGCCTGACTCAACATCCAAATGACGGAAAAAAAAAAAAGGAGGTCATTGTTTTGAAAGGTACCGACTCAAAAGGAAAAGGGATTTTTTGATCATGAATGCTCGAGGACGAGGACTCCAATGTATCCGCTGTTCGAGATGCAAAGAAGCACTTGTCAGAAGAGAAATGCCCGTTTTGAAAAGATAAACCACGAGCCCGATGTGTATGTACTGGGCGGACGAGAACAGAATGATGTGGCTGGGGTATCGGCTGAAGGACATGAATGTATGGACATCATGAGTCCTGTGCTGAGACTCAAAAATGTGGCTCGTGTTGTTGCTAGGGAGGGTGACGAATTGAAATGCCAAGCATCCCGTGAATGGTGTATATACGTGGCGAGTTGACTCGACTGTTGGGGAGAACGTAACCGATTATGGTCGAGTGAGGGGAGCGATTAAAGTCCCGTCGGGTAGGCGCTGCCGGGTATCATGCCAGGACCTCCCGGTCTTGATGGAGGACCGAGACGTTTTCCAGGCAGCTCGAAGTCGGGGTTGTTGTTCAGCAGCATATCTTGCCGTCGCTGCTGAGGCGGCCGCCGAGGCGGGCCTTGGCCATAAGGCGCTGGGGGATTCCATCTCGGGTTTATGCCCCGTTGGGATATTGATGTGAAATTGGACCGATCAGACTCGGCGCCAGGACTGCGCGCACCGGCACCTTCATGAGTGTCTAAGTCATACATATTGGGCACGGATAGAGGTACCTGAAGGGCAGGTGGAGGGCCTGCTCTGCCGGCGGGGGCGGGGGCCGGTGCGTCCGCGAAGCGCGGATCAACATCCTCGTAGTAGTCGCTTGCTGTGGGCTGGGCAGGGGAGCTACGTCCGGGCATCTCAGCACGCGAGAGCGGGGAGGCGTTTCTTGATGGGGGCTGGTTCTGGTTCCACGCGGCACGAGGAGGGACGTATGCGCTTGGAAGAACGTTAGTAGAAGCTTTTAGGTGAACACACAAAGAAACGTACTCATCCTGGCTGTACCTGCTTGTCTCACTCATGTAGGTGTCATGCCTCTGAGGATTAGATCTGTTACCACCGCCTTGTTGCAGTCCGACCATGCCGGCAATGTCAGCATCACTATCTCTGAACTGGCCGAAGCCCGGAGGCGGCTGGGCAGGGCTGCCTGTTCTGGCGTCCATCTCGACAGCTTGGCCCACCATCGGGGCAGGCGCGTCGCCAGGCAGAGGCGGGGGCGACTCAGCCCTCGGTAGGCTGTTCCGGTCAGGGTTGTATGCCTCATATCCTTGTTGTTGGGGGATACTCGGGAGAGATGGGTTTGTGTTAGTTGCAGTATAGCTCGGCGCCGATTCTGAACCGCTGCGTCCGTAAGGGCCGGGGGCGGGAGCACCGTAAGCATTAGCCGGGCTCGGCCTCCGGTCGTAAGGTCCTGCGTTGTTCTGGTAGCCTGGTGGGGGAGGTCGTCCGCCTCTCATTCCACCAGGGCCATATCCTCCACGGGGCGGTGGTCCGTACCCACCCCTGCCGCCCGGAGGAGGGCCGTAGCCTCCGCGTCCAGGGGGACCGTAGCCGCCTCTTCCAGGCGGTGGGCCGTAGCCATTGTATCCGCCTCTGCCTCCGCCGTAGCCTCCGCCACGTCCTCTGGGCCCTCCGGGAGGCATACCACCTCTGCCCCGCATACGTTCTTGCGAGGGTCCTCTTCTAGGACCATAGCCATCGGGTCCAGGCATCGGGTTTCCGTAAGGATCTCTGTTGATGGGGGGAGCAGAGCCGGATCTTGAGGGGGGAGCGTTGGCGTAACCATCCGCGCCCATCATGTTGCCCTGGTTCCTGTCGACCGGGCTCCGGGCGGTGAGAGGAATTCGCTCATCGCTGACTTGGTCGTCCTTCTTCTGTGATTCGAAAGACGCGAAGGTGGGCATTTTGTCGATGCCGTTTCCACCAGTGACGACGGGAACAGTCGGCTGAGAAGCTACAGAGGTGGCGGTCTTGGTTTGAGCCTCGCGATTGTAGTAGTTCTCGCCACTCATTTCAGCATTTTCGGCGATTCTCTTCTTTCTCGCTTTCCTGGTGACCAGCATACGACGCATGGCGCAGGAGACCAAGCCGCTCATGCCCACCAGTATAGTGGCGGCGAGAACGATGTACGAGCCCCAGGCCATGTGAGGCACGAAGAGGAGGACATCGACGAGGAAGGCCAACAGGCAGATGAGAAAGTCGATGAAGGAGAAGATGAAGACAACGAGAAGGTAGCGAGCGGAGTGAGATGGTGAGTGAAGGTGAGCGACGGCAGCCATGATGAACATGATGAGTGTCGTCAGGGCGGCGATAGGATGCACAATCAGAATGGCGGAAAGAGTGTTTCGGGCCGAGTCCGGGAGGTCAAAGGCGCCCGACTTTTGAAACAATCCAGCTGCAGATGAAGTCAGCAACGATTCTCATGGCACGATAATGAGAGTCTTGTTAGTGTCGTCTTACAAGTGTCATATCCGATTTCTATACCGGTGCATGAGCCGTCGGCCTTGCAAACGCCAAAAACTCCAAAGTTGACGCCCTGAAAGCTGCCGAGCGGGATGGCCTTGATGATGGGGGTCGACAGAGTTGACAGCAGCATCAGGGCGAAGGCCGCTAGCAGCAGCAGCGACATGGGGGTTGCCGGCCGCAACATGATTGCGGTCGATGGTCGAAGAAACCTGCTTCCAAAATGGTAGACGGAAAGCCGGCGTCGTCAAGACGCGGCGAGAAGGGTGTAGATACGCCCGGGAAAGAGTCGGGCGTTGGTGGTGAGGTTCGAGGATCGGGTGGGCTAGTAGTAGAGGATTGAAGCGTCGCGCGGCATCGTCTATGCGTAGGTGGAGTTGAATTGAGTTGTTGAAGGATGCGACATGAATGAGAGTGACGAAAAGATGGATCGACGCGTTCGTGGATTTGGGATCAAATCGTTTCCTGCCTCTTGCTGTCCTCTCTCCTCGGTCCTGTTCCTAGCTCTTTGTTCCCGAAAGTTTCCTCCAAGTCCAACGGCGGTCGTGGTGGTTCCTGAAACAGTGTCGCAAGTAGCCGTAAAGTGCAGAAAGACGGCTTAGAATCGAAAATGCAACGGGTCGTGAAAAATCGAAAAGTCGGAGTAGTCGGTGAGGAGCGAAAGGGTCGGGGATTCGAGGATTCGGAGCGTGCGAAGTGTTGCTTGCGTCGTCCTGTTCGGCCTGAAGAGGGAGAGAAGGAAAAGGGAAACTCGACAGGCACGATCTGGGGGAGAAGGACGATGTGGGCAAGCGGGTGGGCGAGCGGGCGGTTGTGTGGAGGGAGCGAAGGAATCAGGGTGGGTCAACAGGCGTGGGTGCAGCGCAGGTGGGCAGTTTTGGGTGACCACTGGACCGGGCAGGGGAGCCAAGAAGAACAGGGGGGTGTGGGCAGGCCTGGGATAGGGAGTGAGCGTTGATTGATGATGGAAGTCCCTCCCGTCAGTGTCGCTTTGCGTTGCGCGTTGTGGCTGGGGCGGGCGGCGTTGGAGGGGGCAAGACACGCTGCAAGACATTGAAGAGAGTGCCGGTAAGGTGCTGGGCACCTGGAGGAAGCACAGCAATCCAGCGCCTCCAGTTTGGGAACTTTGAACTGCGTGCCGTGCCCCTGGCTGTGAGTGACGCCTCGGTACCATCGAGGTACGTACCTCTTCAGGTATCCTCAGGGGTCCAGTCTGAAGTGAGCGGCATCGAACTCTGTGAGAGCGAGAGGACGGGACCTGATTGCTATGATGCTGTAGCGCTGCTGAAGCACAGAAATAGATACGTACCAACTAAGGTGTTTGGAGGTGCACAGCCCACCAGTGTTGGGCAGACAGGCTGGCAGAGCAGACAGGACAGGACAGGACAGGACAGGCAGACAGGCATATTGGGTGCGTGGGTTGCAGCGGCTCGAGATGCACTTGCATGGACCTGTCCAAGTTGACAACCTGAGATTGAGTGTGTCGCTCTCGCTCTCGATGTCCAAGTACGTCGTCCAGGCCAGCCAAAAATCAATCAATATCTCTGCCCCCGCCGCCGACGTGCAGCGCAAGTGTCACTACTGACTACTTTACTTGGTAAGGTACCTACCAGACCTTACCCAAGGCAGGTATCTGCAGATGCATCGACTGGCATTCGTCAGAGGGGGTGGGTGGGCAGCCGCAGGTGAAGGTGAAGGTGAATAAGTACTTGGTGGCTTGCCGTTTTTGGGGGTGGCCAGAGGTTCCTTCCGTGGGAATTCTTTGTTCCTCCCACCACGTTGCGTCGTTGCCCAAGTCTGCGTGGCTTTTCCCAAAACGTTCTCTATTCCGGCCTCAACGAACAATGCCCTTGTTCTTCCGCGTGCCCCTCGCCCGGCCATTGACCACAACAACCCAGCCAGCATTGCACTGCACTGCTAGCACTGAGCAGTCCAGACCGAGTCTTGCCTCCAGACGGGACCCGGGTTCTCTGTCTTCCCTCCTTTTGCGCTGCCAACCAATGACACAACGGTGCGAAGCATGGTGTCCCTGCCTCACCCTCAAGACCGCCCCTATCCCGGCTCGCCACCACCACTCCGCCTTCATTCAAATGCCAATATCGTTGCCAGAAACACTGCTGCAATCCAGGAAATGCCGTGAGCAAACTGCTGCAGCCTTGTACATAGGTCATTCGAGCATCCACACGCACGTTGTCGGTGTCAGTGTCAGCACAGAATGCCAGTCAGCAGTAATGGGTATGAGCGCCAATCGCTGAATATCAAATATCGACCGTGTCATTCCTAATCTCCCAGATAATCACCGATATCACCCCGACAGAAAGAATGCCCGTGAAAAAAACTCAATGGATCCCCGTCTAGTCAGGAACGCTTGCACTAGCTGTGCATCTGAGAATCCGCAATCGCGTGCTTACTGCGGGCCCGACTATCTTGCCTATCCGCTATCGTTGGTACTTGTACAGAGCAGAGCAGCACAGGCACTTTCCAAACCATCGCCTCTGCTGCATCGCTGGTCGAGTGAAGCTTCGACTATTTTACTATCGATCCCACCTTGTCTCAATTTAGCAGGTCCTCACCCAAGGCCCGCGAACCTGTTGGTCTGGATCCAGTAAAGCTTAAGATGAGGAGTGGGATGCCTGATGGATGCGCCATGCACACCAACAGCCCCATCCTGCTCTTCCTCCCCTCTGCAATCCCCTCTTCGCCAAAGAGACCCCTGCTTTCAGTCCACCAATCACATCTCGACTCGCTTCAATACGGCCAGCCAGCTTCGCTCATCTATCGAATACTGCGGCTATCGTCTCGATAGAAACCAGAATCAGGTGCTGCTTGCCACTCGCGGTGGTTGAGTCTGGTGCTTCCACGACGAAAAGCGGCCTTCTTCAGAACCAGGTGTGGCGTTCGAGGACGACCGTGAACGGCAACTTGACGCAAAGGCATAATAATGAGTATTAACCCCATGTCGGACTGGGGCAACGGAAACTCTGTCCACTCCTGGGTTCCAGGGGTCTTCGCAGCGCCGTTGTCGGTCACATCTCTCCACCGCAATTACGGACATCCACCCGGCGATCGATAAGTCCCAAGCGACTATTGTTGCGACTTGAGAACCGTCGACGGGGCCTGCGTAGCAGATATGCAAGCTTTTCCGGCTGTCTGGCACCAGAGGCCGCGAATGCTCATTTCGATATGCTATTCTTCCCGTGCCGCGTGCCGTTGTTATCGCGCCGTCCTCCCGGCGGACAGCCGCAAGAAACGCGACTGCAAAATCCACGAGAAACACTACGCACTTGCATCAGGGTGCATCGCTTAGCTTGTCCCCCAGTGCCATCCACATGCCGGTAACAGCAGTGGCTAGGCCCAGCCGTGTCAGAGACGTTAGTAGCGGCCCCGATACCGACAACGACAGCGCCGACAACGCCGGGCGGCTCTCAGCTTTTGTTGAAACTGGGCGGCTCCGCTGACAAAGAGTACCAGACCCCGCCGGCATCAGTGCATTGCTGGACACTACATCACAAACCTGGTCTATTTCTGGTCGTCCCAAGCCGTGGCCGTGCTCTTGCAAGTCACCAGGACGAAGGAGCAACGACGAAAGCACGAAACCTGTCAGAGAACTAGGGTTTACTTTGGGCCGCCTTTGTCGAGACCAGACGGGCAATAAACCAGAGCCTCTCCCGCTCTTGCTAGCAGCTCAACCGGCGACGGTTTTGGAGACCAATGGCTGCTGAAGTTTCGTTGTTGTGGCTAAGAACGGTGAAAGTGGACCATGCCGTGAGCCCTTGATGTGCGATTCTGAGGCAGATGGATGTCTGCTTTGCTGACTACAATGCAGTGCGGAGGTTTCTGCGACATGGGCGCTTCGCCGTCTCAGGTTCTGAGGCGACCACCGGGTTGTTCGCCCTGCGTCTCCCACAAGCTTCCATGTCAAAACCACTCAAAATCCAGTCGGACCAAAAACTTCAGTCCACCGCGGAACTCAGCAGCCTATGCCGGCCGCCATATAACCTGTCACATATCAAGCTGCAAGCGAGGGCATCGTGCAAAACCGCCAAAGTCTGTCTACGGTCGGCGTTGAGCTCTCGGCTTTTGAGCACCTCCTTTGTCATTACGGAGGTTGTGCCCCTGGTCCGACCCGGTGTTTTCGACCCAACGGCTATCGGCGCCAATGTCATCCGTAACAATGATCGGCGAGCAGACTGAAATCGCTCGAGGCCATCGCATGTGAGCATTGCAGGGACTGCACAAGTCTCTGCCAGAGTCAGTTCTAGAACCCGCAACCGTTGTGGTGTCAAGCTTCTTGGCTACGCGACCAAAATGGTGCTTGTTCTCCTCTATTCCTGGGCCCCAGTCCATTTACTTGGAGACTTGACAAAACGAGGCCAAGTCCGCTAAACAGCAGCCAAGACCTAGAGTCCAGCTTCAGTCTCCCGATTGCGCCGCCAAGCCGCCATCTTGATCAGTTTTGCTCGGAGAATTAATTGGCCATGGACGGCAAACGACGTGGCTGTGCTGAACATCAAGACATGTCTCGTTCTGTTGTTCTTCTGAGACTGCTTCACAGTTGGACTTTTGCATTGACATTTCAGCATAGGGTCACCTTGAACATTCAGGTGTTGGTGTATTCCCAGTCAGTACAACCTGAAGGTGGTGCCCATCCTATTTCCTATGTAGGAACATTTGGAACTGAGCTGCTAATCACGGAAACTCCCACCCAACCCACTGGAAGTTTTATGATTGTGTTTAATCATATTTGAGCCACGCGAACTCTGCACATCTGGAAGGGGTGCAGGGACGCCAGGTTCATGCAGTTCACCACCCGCGTCCGGAGACCCTTTACAGCTGCCCTCAGACGTCACATCTGTCGATGCTATGCGTCATGGTCACGAGGGAAGCTTTCCCGATGGTCGCCGAAACCTCTGATGGTGTGCTGCCTCGGAAGGCGGTCAAGCAGCCCAACAAGCAGGCACCCTCCTCGGGGCATCAGACGAAGGGAAAGGGGCTGCTTGCCTACTTGCCAGAAGCAAGCCGTGGGCGGGAACGGCCGCCGCTTAACTGTAAGTGTACAGGGCGGCGTCCGTCATAGCACAGAGGTCGATGGTGGTGTCGCCGCCGCAGCCACTGCAGCGTCAAGCTTTCCTCCAAATCGGCCCACAACCTCAGTTTTGTTTCACTTAACCTCAGGCACCGGACGCCGTCGATCCTCAATGCCTCAGAGCCTGGACTTCAGACGAAGCCTGACTAACCCTGCAGCCAGATGTCCGGCGTGCCCTGTCGTCAAGGTATGCGCGACTGGCGAACACAATGCGTGCGCATCAAGTTGGAACATGTGGATACCAAGGGGAAGCGATCTGTATGCTCGTCTGCCCGGGGTCTAGTAAGAATTTGCGAATATGACGAAGCGAGAGGTTTTAGGATGCTTTAGAAATACTAGTGGGAGTACGCGTGGGATGATCACCACGCTCCTTTAAATGTTTATATGCTCGATTCGGCGGTCTTATGCCTCGGAAGCCAGTAGCTCGTCTATCGCAAGCAGATCTCCGGGACCGCCGGACTCGGGCCGCCGCGTCCTGGATCCGGACCGCTTCGGACATAAGCTAAGCAAGTTTGTTCCAGATCCTACCGGTTCGCATGAGAACAGGATATAATGGATTTAAATCACGATGAATCGAACCGGGCTGAAGAATATGTTGAAGAAAAAAAAATTTTGGCTTGGAAGCATCTGAAACCAGTCTGGACAGAATCATGAATGCAACCTCTTGGCTCTACCAAACATGGCAACTTGGCTCGTGACTCTTCAAAAGAACCACCAGCACCCAACCAAATGAACCTGAGTTGTTGAGCCTCGAGTATGTAACCTGCCGACCAAATCCCATACACACATGATCTTATACATCCTCCGAAAGAAGACTGTGAAGTCCAAAGAACAGCCCCGATGTGGGCACTGGCCAGTCGGCCCCGGGCGACTCGGTACGCTTCCGGGGATAAGCGGATAAAGCGGGCTCGAGTCGGTACTCAATTCGCCGACGGAAATTTCCACCACCAGTGTGGCACCTGTTATCGTCATTGACCTGCCTACCTGTTCCCAGCTATCACAGATCCGGCATTGGCCGGCCGCGAACACCCTCTTTCCCCCCAAGCTTATTTTTTTCCTCTCCCGTTCCCTTTCCTTCACCGCGCGCAACAAACGACAGAGGTCAAGGATATGGGAGCTTGCAACTTCCTCCTCCCTCAACACCTCACCCAACCATGATGCGCCAAAGCATAGCCGCCCTCTCCGCGAGGCCAGCGGCGTCCCGGTGCCTCCAAGTCTCCCCCGCGGCGCGCATCCTCAACCCATCCATCCGCTTACGCCCCTCCACGACAACAAGACCACAACCACCCGGCAAGACAGCAACCTCACAACGCACAATCCATTCGACATCTCGCACCGGATCCCGCTACGAACCCCTCCGCCCGCCGTCCCCCGCCTCCCTCGGCGCCCCGAAGCGCGCCCGCACATACCCCAAGGGCCGCAAATGGACCCGCCGCCTGCTCATCCTCTCCGCCGCCGTCGGCACCGTCTACCTACTCGATTCCCACATCTACGCTTCCGGCCTCGGCCGCTCCCTCCGCACCTTCGGCACCGGCCTCCTCGTCGCCCTCGACTACAAGCTCAACTTCCGCCCCGTCCCGCTCACCGGCGGCTCCGTCCAGGACCTGCACCGCCGCAACGCCGAGCGCCTGTTCGACCTGCTGCGGCACAACGGCGGGCTGTACCTCAAGATCGGCCAGGCCATCGCCATGCAGAGCGCCGTGCTCCCGCCCGAGTTCCAGAAGATGTTCGCGCGCATGTTTGACGACGCGCCGCAGGGCGAGTGGTCCGACGTCGAGGCCGTCATCCGCGAGGACTTTGGCGGGCGCTCCGTCGAGGAGGTCTTCGGCGTCAGCTTCCGCGGCGAAGAAGGCAAGGGCCTGATGGAGCGCCGCGCAAGAGCCAGCGCCAGCGTGGCGCAGGTGCACTGGGCGCGGCTGCCGGACGGCCGGGAGGTGGCGATCAAGATCCAGAAGCGCGAGATCGCGAAGCAGATCTCGTGGGACCTGTGGGCGTTCAAGACGGTCGCGTGGATCTACAGCCGGTGGTTCGACCTGCCGCTGTACAGCCTCGTGCCCTTCATCACGGAGCGGCTCGAGCTCGAGACGGACTTTGAGAACGAGGCCAAGAACTCGGAGACGATGCGCGCGCTGATCGACGGCGAGCGCAGCCTGCGCGGCCGCGTGTACGTGCCCAAGGTCTACCCGGAGCTGTCGACGAAGCGCGTCATGACGACGGAGTGGATCGAGGGCGTGCGGCTGTGGGACAAGCAGGGCATCAACGGGCGCTGGCTCGGCGGGTACGGGAACGGGTCGCCGGGCGTCAAGGGCGCGACGACGCTGGACGCCCCCGACGCGGCGGCCGTGCGGCGGGAGCTGCGCGAGCGGCCGTACCGGGAGCAGCTGAAGCCCGAGCGCGGGGAGTGGCGGGGGCGGGGCGGGGGNAGCTGAAGCCCGAGCGCGGGGAGTGGCGGGGCCGGCGCGGGCGCGGGGGCCTGGGGCTGAGCAGCAAGGAGGTGATGACGACGATGGTGGACCTGTTCTCGGCGCAGATCTTCAAATGGGGCGTGGTGCACTGCGACCCGCACCCGGGCAACATCTTCATCCGGCGGCTGCCGAGCGGGCGGGCGGAGCTGGTGCTGATCGACCACGGGCTGTACGTGTACATGACGCCGACGTTCCGGCACCAGTACGGGGTGTTCTGGAAGGCGCTGATGACGTTCGACAACAAGACAATCGAGCAGGTGACGGAGGCGTGGGGGATCAAGGCGGCGGACCTGTTTGCGAGCGCGACGCTGATGCGGCCGTACGAGGGTGGGGACGAGCGCACGCGCAACGGCATCATGAAGGAGCTCGAGGGCAAGACGCCGGCGGAGCGGCACTACGAGATGCAGCAGCGGATGAAGCAGGGCATCCGCGACATGCTGGCCGACGAGGAGAAGTGGCCCAAGGAGCTTATTTTCATTGGGAGGAACATGCGCATCGTGCAGGGGAATAATCAGTACCTCGGCAGCCCTGTGAACCGCGTCAAGATGATGGGCCAGTGGGCGTCGCGGAGCCTGTACGAGGACCCGAACCTGCCGTGGGCGAGACGGGTGGGCAACGCGTGGAGGCATTTCGTGTTCAAGGGGGTGTTGGCGCTGACGGATGTCGCGTTCTACTTTTTCAAGATCAGGCAGTGGCTGGGCTTTGGTGGAGGCATGGAAGACGAGATGGAGAAGAGGATGAAGGATATTGCGCAGGATTTCGGTGTTGAGCTGCAGCATGAGGTGTTTGAGGGGTAGAAGGCGATAGATGGTGTTGGTTGATAGATGTTTGTCAAGAGAAGAGGAGGTTTACATGTTTTGTTATAGATTTTTCATGCCGGTGTAGAGGCGCGGGTTTCGGTAAACGGGGAGACCTAGAGGAAAAGATACCACTCATGACTTCACTGTAAGGGTTTAAGAATAGGACGTCTCTTGATGTTTTTGTGATGCTGCTTGTATGGACTTCGTGCTCTTGGGAAAAGACTTGGAAAAAGAGTCCAGGATGGCCTCCAAAGCTTGGTTGCCCTATATAAAAAGCCTGATAAAAAGCCTGCCAATACGTGTCGACCAAGAGCTGAGCCGAGCAATAATCCCCCCCTTGTCATTGTGCGTGGTTTAATAGACTACATGGCTCACTGGATGTGGGGTTTATCCCGCCACGCGAGGCACTCATTTCAACCCCGGTGACATATGAACTGAACATATCCCAGACTGAATACTTATGAGACGAACGAAACGCAGGAGAGCGGTGATGTTGGAATAGAAGAGGTTGACGAGTTCACAGCACGCACCGAGGAGCACAGAAGTTTACCCAGGGACCGTCGCCATGTCGAAGCATTGGGCCTTGAGTGCCTTGGCTACTTGATCTTTAAGGTTATTTTGCTTCAGGAGACGACGCCTTTATATCGTGTGTAGTAGACTTGTAAACATTACTTGGGAGAATATACTGCTACACAGATTCAGTGTCCGTTGGGGGTTTATTATCGAGGTGTTTCTGCCCATAAAGAGAGGCTGACCTGCCGTGCGCAGTCAGCCGTCTTATCCAGCGTCGCCAACACAACAGAGCAGGTTTGCGATCGTCAGCTGAGTATTCCTTGATACAATAATCTTCGAACGAGGAGGGCGGAGGACTATGGGATACGCCTCTGGGGTGGTGATTTCGTGAGACTTCCTGTTGACGTCGAGTCGTGGATCAACAACAGAGCTCCTTGGGATCAGCATGCTTGGCAATATTGATGTCGTGCGGAACTATCTTGTTGAGGCTCTCTAGTCGTGGGGCATGAAGACGTCTAATATAGGCACGCAATTCAATCTCATAGACAACTTGGAATACATGCAGGGAGCTCGATAATAAACCCAGCTGACAACTACTCCAAGACGAGTAGAATTCTACTAGATTTCTGTACCGCAGTAAGTGAGGACTTGGAGTCGCAGCAATCAATGAATCTTTGAAGTTAATCATGATATTTTCTACGCATGAGTTTTCATTCACAATGATAGACTGTTGTCAAATCTGCTGAAGGCCAATGTGGTTTACAGGAGTGGCAGCTCAGGTAAGGCCTGGTTAATGCAACAACTTTATGGGCCGTAGCCTTCAGTTCCCACAATTTTGCGCGGTGTTCTTCATCGTCTCTCAGAATGTATCTCCGTTGAGTATTCTATGGCGGAGCAAGCTTCGCAGTCTTTACCTGTGGTCTGATAGAGACGTACATGACTGATGTTTACAGTCCCTCGTGCTGAAGTTGAGTCTTCCTCAAAGTAATGAAATATAATCCCTGGGACATTTGCCTCTGTGTTGTCGGGATTCTGTCCGAACTGAAAATAGGCCTCGGCTTATTGGATACTGTACATATCCAATCATACTCTTAGAGCGCCATTCAGGCTCGGCAGTCCCACATCCACATCTGGCCACCTGGTCATCTGAGATTGTCCAAACACGTTGAGTAATTCGGTGTATAAAATGGAAAGAACGGAAAATTTGACTTAGAATCAATAGTATGTGGCATCTTCTTGTCAGAAGTCCAAGCCAATTCGCAAATTTGCCGTTATGGCAAGGGCAAATGCATGACACACCGTAGGCAACAGTGTGTGTTGTTGATGACCATCATCTGCTTCATCTGGTGAGTAATCCAGTAGAATACTGCAAAGACTGCGGCTAAATATGCAGCTGACTGCCAGTTCCCATTTTTGTTTGGTGACATGGACTACCCGCCAACAAGCAACTTTGGAACCTGTCGGAACCTAGGCAACAACATCGCGAATGTCATCCTATGGCGCGAAGGGACCTTCTTTGCTCTTCTTGCCGTAGCCAAATTTCGTGATTGTCTCAAATTTGCCACTACGACTGGCTTCCATGTCTTTTAGAATGATATGAGGTCCTGTCGCTGTTTCGGTAGCAATCGTCAGATTTCATAGTCTCACTGGTGAGACCAAGTGGAATAACCCAGCCATCTCAGTGTAAATGAATCTGCAACATCATGAATATCGCGCTTGTATTCAAAAACCACATTGTGGCTTAAGCTAACATGGATATATGAGTGCTGTCATTATGTCGACTTGTGCTGATCATCAGAATAATCAGAGCGCGGTGTACCAGTTTATTAGCACACGGAGTTGAGTCAGTAGTTCTCACGCACATCACATCATGTTTTAACATCACAGACCAAATTACACTCTTCCTACATTTGGATATCACATCTCTTGAGAATACACCTGTGCGTGGACTTAATAGGCAAGGCGACATCAGGAACACCAACAAAGGCCATTTTCAATCACTGATCACTACGTAACCTATAGAATGTCATCAACATGTCTTAGCAGCGCCTCCAGTCTCCCATTTCCTTAGAGTGCTCTTCGTTCACCAGCTCATTTGCGGTTGGAAAAGCATCCGTGACAAAGACTCGTTCATCTTTTGAATAAACCGCGCCAGCACTTGAATGCTCTTTAACAACTTCATACTCCCGCTATCGCCACTCTGAGACATAAAGTAATTCTACAAGCCAGTGTTAAGGGTTTAAGGAGCTTGTGAACTAGGTGTTCTAGAAACTTTACCTCACTTCTTAAGTGTGCCCACTTCCCACAAGATCTCAAACTTAGCTACATTATTATTCTTATATAAATATCTATATGAGAATAAGGAAGATAACAGATAGTAGCTTCTCATTTATACGAGTGAAGCAATCTGACTTTTCTCTTAATAGCGCTACTTCACTTATTCTCAATCTGCCTTAAACGCAGATAAAATTGATTACAGTGATTTATAAAAGAAAAATTAAAAAGTTAACACACTTTAACAGCTGTATTCTTTATAGCAAAGAATTCTGGTTGGCCATCTCTACTCTAGTGAGAAAGAGTCTAAAGGATCAGCAAGGCACACAGGAAGTTTTCAACCGCCAGCAGAAATGATTGCTGAGACATTCGTCAGGCGAATGCCCCTTTGGACTCTGCGACGTCTTCTGAGGTTTTCTTTGACATAGCTCTATCGGTAAGATTCGCCCACAAGATGTACTCGTCAGCTCTGTTCAGCGATTATATTGTAATCATAATTAAACGTTCTTACCAATGTGATTACGACATCAGTGGAATAGCGCTCAAATAATTGCTAGCATATGATATAACAAGCTCAGCGTTACCCCTAGCCAGACGAAGGTGTTGGATTGGGAATTTCTGAATTGATATGACATACTGCTAAGATTTAAGATGACACTGCAGCCCGGCCCGCGCAAGTCATACCAAGGGCTTCGCGATGGAGCCAAAGGTTCAGAGCGGGCTTCAACGAGATTTCCTAGCATCGTTCCTGTAGGATATAACTGCAGGCGATCTACGCATGTAAGTTGACGATCGACGAACCAATTTCTTCGCTTCGACTATGCCATCACAAAGCAACCAATCCGATGGCCTCGCGGCCTCTATATTCGTCAAACAAGCCTTTTTTCTGCGGCATATTTATCCTAGCAGTGTTTCATGTCTTCCGTGAGTCGTTCTATCACTGGCACGTTCGTGTAGATGAAGGTGGATTATTCAGTAGATGGTGACCAGGACTCTCTCAGATGTCGCCTAGTAAGGGAGGACCACTGGCAAGTCAGAGTGAGCGAGTTCTCAGCGCCCAGTTTCACATTGGCTTAGACAATATCACATTCACAGCAGATTTCGTGTGCCCCATTAACGATATTTCTAGACCAGGCTTTATGTATTTGCTGGCTCTACAGAGGAGCGAGCGCATGACATTCAAAGCCTCAGGCATTAGATTGCTTTCGGCGTGTACTGTTACGAGCTGTTATTCAATGAAGCCCAACCTCCTACGATACCCGAAAAAACGGCTTATGGTCTCGGATTGTCTTGTATGAGTTAGTCTTGCCAAATCCAGGACTTTAGCATTGTCCCGCTAAGACACGCTGTCCATTACTTGCCAGCAAATTTGCTTCAGGGGAGAGTTATCATCGATGCCGAAAATTCTCTCTGGAGAATATTCGCCTCATGCGAAGCACAAATGATGGAGGACAAGACGGTACCAAGCACAACACTACCGGTGGATTTTCTTGTTTTGCTGAAGTGCACATGAAACTCATCGTATGTATATAATGTCCTTGAGTATCGCCTACAACCAGATCATTTGGTCTGCCGGTTGTCTTTATCTAACTTGGACGTGTCCGACATATACATATACGATGTGTCGTCAGCGCAAACGCCAGTGAGACATTCTCGTATGTTTTACGCCTTGCGTCAGATGGAACGAGTGGGATATCTAAGGAAAGGACCTGGACACAAACAGAGATTTGACAGCCAGACACACAATCGATAAGATCGGACTCATTTGTGATTGTCCTCGGCTTTTCCAGACACGGCCTCGCCGCCAGCGAAGCAGTGCCGAGAAACCCTGGTCAGCAACTCGCATTCGGATGCCAACATACATCAGGGCCGCACCCTTGAGCCAGCAAGTGTACTGGCCGAATACTAGAGCTACAAAGCCGAGAAGCGTTTGACAGAAATTGATCACCCTATGCATTCCAACCGCGCTGAGCACTTTGTGAGCGGTGAATTTTCGATTCCGATTGAGGTCAGATGACCACCAGCAACAAACTGAATACGAACTAGTAGAAATCTCTCATTACCTGCTCGGAGACTATCTATGCAAACAAAACTTGCTTAAATAGGGGCGCACCTATAATCAAAATCTTTTGCGTTGAGTACTTAAGAGCGCCCAGAACATTGTAGCTAGTGTTTTCCCTCTACACAAAGCAATGAATGAACATTCTCCG